TCCAGCAGGTTTGCCCTAATTAACTCCTTATTTCTCACTATTCATCACTTCCTCTACTCTGGCTCATTAATTTGGCTGCAACTAGATTAATTCAAACCCATATTTCTCAGTTCTGCTTCAGTAAGACCCAGAAAATAGACTCAGCCTGCACCTATACTGGACTCAGAAATCTAGTTCTGGGTTGATAATTAACGATTAATATAACCTAAGAAATTGTATGCCATGAATCTTGAATTGTGTGTAGTTTGTTTCAGATAAAAAGGAGTTGAAGTTTCCAGGTTTGGTGAGCATGACGGCGACGTTTCGATGCGTACGAGTGCGATCAAATGATGACTGGGTGAATGAATTAGCGTACCATGCGTCGGTGAGGATTGGAGGGCATGTGTTTTGCGGTCTTCTTCATGATCAAGGCCCTTCTCTTGCTCAGACTTCCTCAGTCCCTCTTCTTCAGCATAACAATCTAATCAACGTAGCAACACAGACGACCCATAATATTGATGCCGCAACAATGGCTCCTCCATTATCATCTTCTTCTGCTCGTGACTCTATCTTTCATCCAACATACCCTTTTCCCCTACCACCTTCTATGCCTTATTTCTCCAACCCCCAACCGTAATTAGTTTCATCTTATTTTCTCTCAACTCAAGCCACAAGAGAGAGAGAGACAGGGCATTAATTATAGGTACTATTTGGCAAGAATCATTAAAAATGAGGGATAGAAATTGAAAACATAGTATTTAGTATAAGAGATTATTTGTTACATAGGATTAAACAAATTCATGTGTGTGAAATTGAGGAATACCATGAGGAGAAATGATATTCCCCAATCCTACTTTTATGGGTTTGCTTAATTCCATAGAACAAGCAATCACTCATGCTAAAGACTTTTCTAATATTTTTTTTTTCAATTGTAATCATAATTCCTATCACTCATTTTCAATGCTTCATATTAAACGAGACCATAGAGTATTTAATAATTGGTGGGTGATTTACATAGTTGATTTAGCTCCCTTCTTTTAGAGGCATTAACAATTGTTTTTGCTCATTAATTGATGCGATCTGCCAGCAGGCTGTAGCTATATCTAACTATATATATGTATATACTCGTATATGGGAGGATGTTTCTTCACTAAACTCAGACCATATATGTCTTTAAATATCTTTCATGGATTTTACTGGTGAAAGTCGAGAATTTAATCAATTTATAGATTTATTACGTGAATTTTGTTCTGTGAGTGAGATGATATAGTCGGGATATATAGCTCAAGTTCAAATTACTGGCTGAAACATTTTACAACCTTAGAGGAGAGTATATCAACGTTGATCTTCATTCTTCAAAGATTCTACCTCATGACTACGTCTGAGATTACAGGAGCTTCGCCCAGATATGTATGACCAGTTTAACCAATGGACTTTCCTTAGTTGTGTGTGAGAGATTACCAAATAATTAAAAGGATATGCAATTATATATATAATCCATTGCAAAATAACAGTGTATCGTATAAAAGTATGAGCAGTAGTTTATTTTAAAGTCTTGTAATAACTCATTTTATGTACGCTCGTTTCTTTTATTTTTCTGGATTTTCTTTTACAGAAAAGTTTAGCATTTACGTCCCTATACAATGTGGAGGTTTCGCAGTTTGCCTTCTTAGGTTCTAGTCATATCATGATCATGATGTTCTTACCGAACTTCGTGTCCCTTTTTATCTGTCCCCATCCTTTAATTTCATGGTGCGTACTTTCGCAGCTTACTAACAAGCAAAAGCAGTGACACACTAATTAATGATTAAGTAGTTTTAAATAATCAGTTCTGTATCACTTCGATCGGTTCGCGTCGTGTCTATATATACCTCAAACCCTAAAGAGTTTCCAGGTGCCTCAACGACGACATATAATCATAAATCACATGGCTAGAAGTTAATATTCTGTTTGAAGAGCCAAGTATTCTTCGAACCTAACTAGCTTGCTTAAAGATGAATGGCCAGTAAACATGACACCAGAAAGTTTAAAACAATGGACGTACGCAGAGATTTAGAATCTTGATCAGTTCTATGCTTCAAAACATGAGAAAAAGGAAACATGGCATCTCTTATGTTTAGCCTTCTGGGAAAGCACGCCGAACCATCCTATTTATACCAGATTCATGTTTCGCATGAAAAATTAACAACTTATTGGAATAAGACCATAAAAAAGAAAGCTGCACATTTTAATGGAATGCATGAACAGACATGATGGATAAAAGATATAGTTTCATGAGGAGGTAGGGGGAGCCACACAAGATTAATAAACATGCATTAAAAAAACAGCTGGAAAAAGAGAAAAAGGTAATGAGAGGTTAAGCATCTAAGTGGGGAATGAGTTGAAGTTAGCTTTTATGGTAAAGCAGCACATAACCTGTGTGCGCTCTCATAGCTTTTAACGGAAAAGATGGACTCACACTTTGCTTCAAGGAATTGATTGATGCCCTTTCAATTATGACACAGAGGCTTATTATTAGGAATATATCCCCAATTTTACTTCAACAGGTGGAGCCCTGCATACCAAATTTAAGCCTTGCGGGCCATCCTTATAATACTTATACACCCCATAAATGCATCCATTTGGAATCACACTACCACTTCTTTTACAGTACGCTTGCTGATATATGTCAATATTATAGTAGATTCAATAAATATCGCTGGCAGGCCAAAAAAAAAAAAAGGGATTCAATAAATATCACTTTGGCCAACAACAAAAAATCAATAAATATCGCTATATGATACTACCTTCGGTCTTTAATATAGGACCTTGTTTGACTTTTATTTTGATCCTAAATATAAGACTACAATCCACTTTGTCTCTAATATTTATGTATTTTTTTAAAAGATAGTCCTTCTAATAATGATAGTTCTGACTAATACACTTGATTAGCAAGGATATTTTAGGAAAGACAATATCTATTTATGACAAATAACTAACTTAACTTCTTTTTCTAATCTCCTCAAATAAGTCAACTAGCTCTTATAATTAGAACCGGAGGTAGTATATAACAGGGCTTACTATTCCAAATTATGTGCACAATACATAAAATTTGGTCGCCCAGATGGTATATTGGATTCGTGTCTAGAACATTGCGTTTACAGAAGCAAAGCTGCAGAAGAAAAGGAAAGAGCAGCGAAGGTAACTCCTAAAGCGCGTGTCGATGACTCAGTTGCTGTAGTGCTAATTGCCTAATTCGAATTTTCTTTGTTTATAAAAAATAATTGTGTATGGGATATTTGCGTAGAACTTGAGACATAAATAATTTTAATATATAAAGGCGAGATATTAAATTTGAATTGGTTGGTAGCATTAAAAACTAAATGATTGTTCAAGAAAATCCTCCAATAAATTAGAATTTTTTTCTTTCCTTTTTTGTCCATATACTAAATCAGAAATTTTGGGTCAGAATAAGTGTGAAATGTAAGTCACTAAATCAGAAATTGTATCCGTTTTCATTTATCCGCTTTATGATGTCACGTTTCAACCGGTCCATAACACGGACGCGGGCCGTTCTCCGGCCTCTAACTATTACATATTCAAAGCCCACATTCAAACAAAGTCGGCCCAAATTTTCTGGCGGGAAAATCATATCTTCGTCCCGCCATATCTAGCGGCAGAATGCCTTGGGAGCTCCACTTCCCCTCCTTTCTCTCTACTGGTGTGCTTGTTGCTTTCACAAGTAGTCATGGCTTCCGATTCTTCTCCGACGAATTTCAACAACGGTTGTAATCTCTCCTCCTACTTTCTTCTTACGATTTAATTTCGGTTTGTATGCTCACGACTTTCGTCAAATTGTGCAGGTCCTTCCTCTCCTGATGATTCATTTTCCAGCCCAATCGGCAACACATTATCCTCTCCCGGAGATGCTGCTCGCCACAGAGGGCGCCGGCGTTCTTCGACACCGTCCGCCTTCGCAACTCCTCCCTCTAATCGATCTCGATTCGCCTCCTCCGATGCGACCCCAACTCCATCGAGGTCCAGGCAAAGGGGAGGTGCTCGGAGAGCGTCTACGTCTACCCCTGTTGCAGCCACGCCCACATCCACTGATGACGTTCCTATGTCATCAGAAGGCGGAGAGGGCTATAATGCAGACGATATCAGGCCTACCTTCGTCTGGGGTACTAATATAAGCGTCGAAGACGTGAATGAGGCGATTCAGAGGTTTTTAAAGCACTTCCGAGAGCAGTCATCTCAGAGCGATGGGCTGCATATGGAGGGGAAATATGAGACAGCTATCAAACAAGTCATTGAAATTGAGGGAGATTCACTAGACGTCGATGCACACGATGTATTTGATTATGATCCGGACTTGTACACCAAAATGGTCAGATATCCTCTCGAAGTTCTTGCAATTTTTGATTTGGTTCTAATGAATATGGTTAGTAGAATCAACCCGTTGTTCGAGAAGCACATTCAAACTCGAATTTTTAATCTAAAAACCTCGACTTCAATGAGGAATTTGAATCCATCTGGTGAGTTTGGTTTATCATTCAGTCTTTTTTCCTAACTTTAATGTGGCGCTCGTATGGTATTACGAATGGCCTGTTAAGAATGTTTGTTTTTTTCTCAGATATTGAGAGGATGATATCATTGAAGGGAATGATCATTCGATGTAGCTCCATTATACCAGAAATTAGGGAAGCTATATTTAGATGTCTCGTGTGTGGATACTGCTCAGAACCGGTTGCCGTGGAGAGAGGTAATTATAATGGACATTTCTAATTATTCCCTTAATGAGCAATCTATGTCATTTCACATCGTTATAATTTGATGACTTTTTCTTAGGGCGAATAAATGAACCTACTAAATGTCTGAGAGAAGAATGTCAAGCCAGGAACTCCATGACACTGGTTCACAACCGATGCAGGTAATGCAACCAGTAGCTTTTTTTGTGGGAAAAGAACAAGCAATTTGATATTTGGAAGGTTTTTATTGCTATTGGATTGATGAAGCCGATTCATGAAGGAATCAGATTTGGAAGTCTGTATGAATGCTAGTCAGTTTCTTTTGCCATTATATTAAAATCAGTATCAGCGGCACAATTGAAAGGATTCTGGTGAACTGAAAATAAGCACATAACTGGTGACTCATAATTGTCCATGTGCTTTTAAGTTAGTGGTTCTACTAATGTACATGTTCTGAAATTAAGAACTTAAAAAATCCAGTACTGGATCGTCATTCTGGTGAAAAGAGTTTAACCTTTTCTGTGACGATAAACAAAAACTTCCTATCTTCAGTCCAGATTATTGTTAACTGCTTTCAAGTCTTGTGCAGTAATCCAGCTGGAGCTTGAAAATAAAATCTCAGACGTCTTGTCATGAAGACTAGCTGAGTTCATTCTTGTATTTTAAGACACATGCATTGCTTGATGGTAGGCTTAGATCAGTACAGTTTCTAGAAATCAAATCGTGGGATGGATACAACTGTAGATGCAATATAAAGGGGATGAGGGTTGCAGCCAACATGTTTATATTGCATTTTTTTTATTTCACAGCTAATCCTTATTTGTGGTTAGGTTAGAGTTTAGTTCTAGTAACTATGAAACTTAATAGTTCTTTCCTCAAAAATCAGTTTCACAGACAAGCAAATTGTGAGGCTCCAGGAGACACCTGATGAGATACCTGAAGGGGGAACACCACACACAGTAAGCTTGTTGGTGCATGACAAGCTGGTGGATGCTGGAAAGCCGGGTGACAGAGTTGAGGTCATATCATACTCTGGCATGCTTTGTTTCAAATAACTGCCTTTGTTTGTTTATTGGTGTCATTGATCTGTTTTCTCCTTCATTAGGTGACTGGCATATATAGGGCTATGAGTGTCAGGGTTGGACCAACTCAAAGAACTGTTAAATCACTGTTCAAGGCACGTATTATGGCTTCAAATCCTAAATTTATTTATATTTGAATCTCCTTAGTTCATCTTCAAATTATGAATATTTTCTAACTGGAGTTTTTTTTATTGCTCCCTTCACATTTTAGACTTACATTGACTGCCTTCATATTAAGAAGACTGATAAGTCAAGAATGCTGTCAGAGGATGCAATGGATGTTGAAACTAGCCTGGGCAACAGAAATACAGAAGAAATTAATTTTGACGAAGAAAAGGTAAAGTTGTTCTTATTTACCGTGAAACCTACCGCTTGTTTCTATGCAAATTCCTCACATGCTTGTCTGAGCTGCAGGTGGCTCAACTTAAAGAGCTATCAAAACAGGCAGATATATATGAAAGGCTGACAAAGTCATTGGCTCCAAACATCTGGGAGCTAGATGATGTGAAGAAAGGTCTTCTTTGCCAGGTTAGATATTTTTTCTGTTTGCGGGTTGATAGCTTGTTTCACTGATCTACCTTTAGTTTGTCTACGCTCTCTCTTTGCGGTGCTTGGGCTGATGGCTTATGACCGCCTTTATTACAGCTGTTTGGTGGAAGTGCTTTGAAGTTGGCATCTGGCGCTAACTTCCGTGGTGATATTAATATTTTACTAGTTGGTGATCCTGGAACCAGCAAATCCCAGCTGCTCCAATACATACATAAACTTTCTCCACGTGGCATTTACACAAGTGGAAGAGGCAGCTCTGCTGTTGGACTGACTGCTTATGTTGCCAAAGATCCTGAGACAGGCGAAACTGTATAAACTATATTCACATGTTATTATATTATCTTCCGTTTAAGAAACATAAGCGACCCTAAACATGTGCCCCATCTTCAGGTTCTTGAGAGTGGCGCTCTAGTTTTAAGTGACAGAGGCATCTGCTGTATAGATGAATTTGACAAAATGTCTGAGAATGCCAGGAGCATGTTACACGAGGTTGATTGCATGTTTTCTCTTTCTGTATACTTGTCGATGAAGAATTTCTTGCGTCATGACTTTATTAGCTCTGCGTTTTGAGTGTCTATAGCCTCTTATTATTTCAGGTGATGGAACAACAAACTGTTTCAATAGCAAAAGCAGGTATTATTGCCTCCCTCAATGCCAGGACTTCAGTGTTGGCTTGCGCGAACCCCAGTGGGTCACGATATAACCCTCGCTTGTCTGTCATTGACAATATACAACTTCCTCCTACACTTCTGTCCAGGTAGGTCGTTGTTAAATTTCGTTTTAAAATGGGCTTGACTCGCACTTTCGATGCTTCAATATTTAAAAATTTGTTTTTTTTCCCAAGATTCAAATTCGTAAAAAATTTTCTTTATTAGATTCAAATTCTCTTGACATAAGAAAATTATTTTCTTCAACGGCGTTAATATTTTAATTAAGAAAAAAAGTGCTTTTTACATTAACTTAGCTATAATTACTTTAATTACCTCTTAATGGCAACAAAGAAAATAAAAATAATGTTTATTTGTTAACCTCAATATTTTCATAAGAAAAAGCAGATTTGGTATTGTCTAATATATCCCCGTGCCCCCAGATTTGAACATTCCAAATGAGTTTTTTTTTTTTCCCAAAGAAAAACAAATGCTTATCAGAGTGTTTTTTGACCGAAAAATGCTTATCAGAGTTGAGAGAGAGAGGAATTGGTAAAATTTTATTTTCTCTGTTGGCATAATGAGGAAGTTCAAATTATGATGGGTAAATTAATTTAACTCCATGTGTTTTTTTTTCCGAGAAATAAATTAAAAGTGTAGAAGAGGAAAATTTTGACTACATTTACAAAATTAAAGGATTGAAACTTTGTCAATTCAAGGGACTAAAAATTTATTTTACCATTGATAAATAAAGTAAAATAATTAACATTTAGCGGTCACAAACTTGAGCCTGGCCTTTATGGAGTTCATGATTCATTATGAAGCAAATAGGGCACTGCTAGTCATTCTGAACCCAACTGTTTCTATCCATTAAGAGTTGGTGATTAATACAAGCCATGATGATGGGTAAAAAGATAACAGACTAACAGAACTTATGAAGATGTTGCGGGATTTCTGAACTGAACTGAGTTGACATGTTCTTGCTCAGGTTTGATTTGATCTACTTAATTCTTGACAAGGCTGACGAACAGACAGATAGACGACTTGCGAAACATATTGTTTCCTTACACTTTGAGAATCCTGAGGTCTAAACCTGACATCCTCCCGTTCATGGTTAAGGTCCAACGTTCATTGCTTTGACTTGCTAATAATGTTATATATCTATTTGCAGAGCTTAGAGCAAGATGTGTTGGATCTTCCTACATTAACTGCTTATGTGAGCTATGCTCGAAAGCATATACACCCACAACTATCTGATGAAGCTGCTGAAGAATTGACTAGAGGTTATGTTGAGATAAGAAGGAGAGGAAATTTTCCAGGGAGTAGCAAGAAGGTAAAGTATTTTAGAGTAGTTTAACTGGCAAGATTCTGACTATACATGAATTTGGGGAATGCAACTAGAATGATTCGGCGCAAACATGATGAAAATTCTTGAGGACAAATATGTTCTTCCCAATTGGACATCACCATTTGTTTTGTTTTTGTGAAAACCCATATCGGGGGAGTTATTATTTCTGGTTCTAAGATATGATTATAATCTTGTTGTCTAATATTGCAATTTTTAAGATTTTCGACCCTCTGCTATGTATACCAATCCTCTGAATGAATTAATCAGGTGATAACAGCAACACCAAGGCAGATTGAGAGTCTAATACGGCTTAGCGAAGCATTGGCTCGGATTCGCTTTTCAGAATGGGTTAGTTATGCTTGCTTAGTTACCTAGTGAAACACAGTTTAGGAAACCTTTCTAGTACTCTTAAAATACCTGATGGACACAGGTAGAAAAGCGGGATGTAATGGAGGCATTTCGGCTTCTAGAAGTTGCAATGCAGCAGTCTGCCACAGATCACTCTACTGGTAGCTTTCGAAATAATGAGCCTGATTCTTTTATATGTACCCACACAAACTAGACCAAAATGCCCTTACTTTTAATGTCCTTTATTTCTCCCAGGAACCATTGACATGGATCTTATTACTACCGGAGTTTCTGCGAGTGAAAGGATGAGACGAGAAAGTCTGATACAGGCAACTCGCAACATAATCATGGAGAAGATGCAAATTGGAGGACCATCAATGCGATTATTGGAGGTATGCTAGCTTACTCTATATGTTGTTATGATAAGTTATTCTACCGAACATCTGAAGCATACAATGACGTTCTAATACGTTTACATTTGGTCATTTAGTTACTGGAAGAGTTGAAGAAACAGAACGCCAGTGAAGTCCACCTCAGTGATGTAAGCCTGCCCTCTTTTCCCCATTTCAAAAGAAATTTTACTCTTTTTTTTTTTTTTGGTATGCTCCCATTTGGATTATCTCATTTTTAATCAGGCAAATACATGTTAATGCAGCTAAGAAATGCAGTTGCTAGTTTGGCCAGCGAAGGATTTGTTGTACTGCATGGTGACAGTATAAAAAGATCGTGATAAAATGAATGACAATATGATCCTTGGATTTTATATTTTAAGGTGGCTACTAGGTGATGTAGTTCTTTTAGTCATCACAAGCCGAGTGCTGAGGAAAGTAGTAAGGCGCTCTGTAAATGGTTGCATTGGTAGGCTTTTCATTGCTGTTCTTTGTCGTAGAGTCGTCAAGAAGTGCGACGAAAGGCTAGCTTGGGTGGTTGAAAGGATGGAATACGAGTAAAACAGGACAGCTTCCCGGGGGGGGGGGGAGAACTGTCAAAATGTATTTGAATGTGTTCTTTTCTTAACAAGCAACATTATGATATTATTTATAAGCGTTGAATTATGAGTGATAAATTAGCATATTAGCTAATTTCAATTTCAATATGTCGATAGCTTGGTGCAGATGTATGATCATAAACAGAATGCATCAATGTTAAAGACCGAAATGGCTGTTTCTTTGCGGACGGACATCAAATTTCTTGGGTTTGGTTGTCAAGTTGTCAAATACTATCTTTAATTTTTAATATAAGAGTTAGTTGACTAATTTAAATAGATTAAAGAAGTTTGTTAAATTAGTTATTTATAATAAATAAATAATTTTTCTTGAAATTTTTTTACTAATCAAGTAATTTTAATATTTAATAAAATATTTAACATGTGCAACTAAGATTAGTTTAAAAAAATCAATAAATTTGAAAAATAAAATAAATTGGGCTTTTATATTTAAAATTAAATTGAAAATCAAACTGGATTTTATATTATATGACGGGGGAAGATGTGTACAGATTTTGCCATTTGTCTTCCTCAATTACACGATACTCATGTTAATAACGAGTTTGGACCTATTAGAATATGCATCTATTATCAAGGCTTGTTTATCAATAATAATGTTTTATTTGTTAGGAAACTACAACAACAATAATAGACATTATTGTTCTAATGTCTATAAATCAAAATAAAAACTTTAACAACACGTCTGAGAGTTGACAATAATATTACTCTCTTGGAAAACATAACAATATCGGAGAATTTGCCCCTAATTCTATAAAGACTGAAATGATTTGATGAATTATCCAGACTTCATATCCAGTTAGTTTCGTATTGATTATATATAATTTGCATCAATTTGATAATTAGCCGGGTTTATTTTTATTATATCATCAAGGTTTGAATGCTTAACTTCTCATTTTGTCTCCTTTTGGTTATCTAAAGCGGCCCCAGTTGGTTTTTTGACAGCGAGCTAGATTATCATGGAGCCTGCTCTATTTCCTATGCGTATAAACATTGAAGGTATGAATTATACGGCTGACTGAAATTTTGAGAACAGTTATTTCGGCATCATTCCTGAAACGGTAAGTCAGAATTGAAGCACTCCGACGATTGCATAAAATCAATTTAAATGTTCATCGTTAGTCAAGAAGCTGACAGAATGTTTTTGATGTTATAAGAGGATAGTTTACATACTTTTCGAGCAGAAAAGAGCGAAAACTAAAAAGCGAGGCATTCTGTAAATTACACCTTAATCATGATGTTGGACACCTGATATAATATAATATAAAATCAGGCAAGATCAGGGGGAATGCAAATGAAATACACTATGTACACAATTGAGGGTTGATTGATGAAATTAAGGGGAACTAGTAGCCTGGTCAGAATTTGTGTGAATGGCGGCCACAGTGGATACCATGGAGTCCACACCACAGATATTACGTCCCCGGCAAATCTTATAGTAACCATTTTCTCCCCAATTCTCTCCCCATGAATTCTTAATGATCCAATATGGTTTCTCTCTCAGCCGAATGCGAGCATAGCCAGCCGAACCAAATCCTACCAGCAACACCCCATGGTCTAGCCGCTTTGAACATATGTATGGGCATGAAACTCCTCCCACATATGTCTGCATATATACTGCATTGATGGCCACTGCATTCATCCGTACAAAGTCACAATTTCAGCCATCATTATCTACTGAAGAAGAGAGAAGAGAGGGAAAAGAAGCTGACTATTAAACATAAAGATCGAACAATAACTTACCGGCAAGAGGACCATTTTTCACAAGATTAGCAGCAATCTGGTCCTCGTCAAGTGAGACAACACTGAAGTTTGCCACTGATGCTGCAATCTTAGTCTTGTCAAATTTGCAGGCCCCACGATCAGTACCAATATAAGGATAGTCATCCTCCCGCATGACCCCGCCAGCTTTAAGGATGTATTCAAAAGCGCTGTTCATTAGTCCACCATTGCATCCAGAGTCGCAAGAACCAGGTTCTTCTGGATCACACTGCATATATAGGCATACGTCCTCGAATTTAGAAATATACGAGGGAAACATCTAGTATTTGATTACTATGTAAGCATCCTAATAGTAGCTTGAAAATTTATCAGTTATATATCCACATTACTTAACAACAATAACTTCGACATATGTACGGACTGATTCAGGCGATAGACCACAGGTCAATAGAAACTGCCAGGATTTGCATATGCAATAGCAATGATCATTCAGTCACCAAACTAAAGAGGACAGATATCAGATTAGACCTCTCAAAATATCATATTTTTCGGTTCATCCTAATAAAAAGTGAAAATAACAAACCAATCCATATAATTAACTGCTTGCGCAAAAAAAAAAAAAAAAAAAAAAAATTAGAGTGGTAAAAGACAGCCAAACCTCATGATCGCAGTCCACAAGTTGTTGTTCGCTAAGGCTGACAAGTTGTCCCGTAGCGAGGAAGTGAGCACCTTCCAGGGCCCCAGTTGTGCTAAAACTCCAACATGAACCACATGAACCCTGTTTCCCAAACAGAAAATTAGAACAACAAATCAAAAATTAAATTTAACAAAAGAATATACCATGAGGTACTTTTCAACACGAGAAAAAAAGAAAAGACGACTCCAAAAAGCACCTGATTCTTAACGGTGGTAACAGCACCATGATCTCTCCAATCAAAGTCACTTGGAAGATCATCAGTAGGCAATATGGGAGCCTTATGTGCATCCGCAGGCAACCTGAGACCTCTGAGACCTAAAAATTTCTTCTGAAACTCGGATGGTGTCAAATCCGAGAACTGAGTCACACCATGAACTGCCGACGGGTCCAGCTTCTGGTGCCGTCCAGCTCGGCGCAAGTTAGCCTTAAATACCTTGAGCCTATAGTCGTGCTCTTCCTTGGAAGAGTACGACTTCCTGAACCTCTCCTTGAAGAGAGAGAAGTGATGCTCCGCGCACAGTCGAAGGTCGCCACCGTCGACCACCTGCCGGATCAACGGCTCTGCGTCACTCACGGCGGCCAAGTCCTCTGTCTCCGACGAGATCGCAGAGACCAAGAGGAACGAGAAGACAATGAAGAGCGACGGATTCCTATACATATCGGTTTGAACGAGAATCGCTGGAGAGAAAGGATAGCTCTGAACGCCGGGGTTCGCGGGTGATTTATACAATCAGTCAGAGTTAAGTATGCGATCTTGCCCACGGAGGTATAATGATCCTTCAAATCTAAACCGTTCAAAAGGTGGAATCCTTTTGGAGTGGACGGTGCGGATTATCTTTTTATTTGCTAATTGCTAAGCCGCATCTGATCCACAATCCTATCTTGTCATCCAATATTTGGTGAAGCGTGATCAATTTAACCAGATACAAGATACAAGAGGACTACTGGCTTACTTGAATAGTTGAATGTTAGATAGAGTTGAACCGTAGTTGGATGGTGTCCTTTTTTGGCCAATATTATATACACACATATTGTTATTATTATTATAAGTTTTAAATAATTAATTTACACACAACAAATAATTAATTAAAAATAATAAATAAACATGTTAGAAATAGGTTTTTATTTTCAAACATGTTTTTATGATAAAAATAAAAATAAAAATGTGTAAAAAATGATAAGAGATAAATAATTAAGAGCAATTAAAAAAAAATTAACTAATATGCCCTTATATATATACATAGGATATTTTTTTGCCAACTACGTGTATATATATATATATATAGACAGACACGCGTGTGTGTGTATATACACACACACACTTTTTATTTTTTCGCTGAGGTCGTTGTTGTTAGCTGTTTGCTTGTACGTCTTTAAGATATTTTAATTTAATTAATTTTTGTTGGCGAAAAAAAGTTAATTAATGTTAAATTAATAATTTCGTTTTCATTCATATTCTGTTTCAATTATTTATTTTCCAATAACATTTCCAATATTGACTTTATTCATTTTCACCCCAGAGAAAAGGCAGGGGGTTTTAATAAATAATAGTGTTAGTGTCTAAGAAAAATTCTTATAGATGAATTATTGTTTATAATGAACAGTTTACTGTTTAGAATATATTTCTTAGCACATTTTTTCAATTAAAAAGGCCAGATATATCTACCTATACAGTGTATGGATGAATATATAGCAGGTCACTTGTCGCCTGACTTGCTTTTGAGTACAGGTATTGTTTACTGTGACCCTATTTTGCTTGGCCAATCATGGCCCTAGTATTATAATACCTCCCCTCTTAATTATAAAAAAAAGATAAGTATAAACAACATCTTATAATTAATACCGAAGTAATTAATGATTTGTTATGAAAATAGAATTCAATTTCCGTGTGTTGTAAATAATTTGCTAATATATTTTAAATTATTTTGCTCATCTTAGATCGGAATCCCGGGTTTACACGTGTGGAATGCATGTGCCTTTTGAATTCCCACAAAAAGGCCCAAAGAAAAGGCTCTTGACGAAGTTAAATGCATGCTTATAATGTGACACCCTTGGCTTAACATCGAGGGAAAGCAATCGAAGACTTAATCGTTAAGTTTTTCTTCGCTCTACTTTAAGCCATTTGGAGTGTGGCATATTATCTCGCGGTTTCAAAAAAATGCTATCAGGTTTGTTCTTTTAAAAAAGAACTATAAATTTTCAATTAAAAGTGACAAAGAAATGATGAAATTCAATTTAAATATGATACTATTTTAATACTTGACCGCAGAAAATGGAGTGTCATGTCCATTAGGAGGCAATTCTTACCATACCATGTGGTTAAAATAGTCCAACGCAAACGACATCCCTCAAAGTTCCATAATTTTTTAATACAAATAAAAAAATAGATAGCTAAATTTCATGAAAAAAAAAATTTAGTTTGAAAAGCTTATGAAAAGACAGAGATACACTCCATTTATCAATTTCGCGTAAAACAAAATACCCACAAAACATCATTTTTTTTCAGCTATTGACAAAATATCTTTATTTAATATTTCATTCAGCTATGTCTTAAATGCTTTTCTATGAAACCTTTCGAGTTGGATTTGCATAAAACTGGCGCTTTATTTTGTGTGTGTGTGTGTGTGTGTGTGTGTGATTGGGTTGGTCCAGTCCACCTCAGCCAACCATGTTCATGGGCTGAAATGACTGGGTCTGAAACATTGGATCCTGATCTAGAAGCACAATCTGTGAGATTTTCAAGCCTGGGCTAAA